TGAATAAAAGAGAATTAATATGGTTTAAATTGCTTAATATGTTTGAAAGTTAATTAATCAAATGGGAAAAAAAAGGATAAGAGAAATTTTAATTCAAATTATTTAAACTTATTTATTAGCAAATGTTGAATTAGGCATTAATAACTGAAATTAAAATAGCTGATCTAAAATAACGTAGAATGTAGAGAGCTGGTTACACGTCGAGGTGATCGCAGACCAGTGTTGAACGATAATTAAGAGGTTGAAGCTGTTGAATCCTGAAAGAAAATATGAATTGGTATTTTCTCAGAGAGTGAAACGTATGCCCGTAATTAGACACAACATTGAATCAACATTTTTAATCAAACTTTATTAGAATTGAATCAAGTGGTTCTGTCAGCAGAAGTGTAAAATAAACTTCGTGAAAATTCATGCTGAATCTTCCAATAGACATGTGATCAGAGACTCACTTGATTGCTAATTTGAATTCAATAACAAAACTTGATCTTCTAGAATGTCTCATATCAACCAGTTTAGCCAGCAGATGTTCCTATCTGGAAATCATTGAGATTTGAGAAAATCTCAGCACTTGAGAATGTGGCTGTTTACGTAGTTGATATGTCTCATTTTTAATCAATTGTAGATATAGATCAAGGTATAAGTCAGCAGAAATCGTGTATAATTTCGTGGAAGACCATCTTAACTTCCTCAAGAATGTGACTTATACGCAATTGATCTAGTGACATAAGAAGAATCAAGGCTGGGCTTGATCCAAACAATAATGAACTTGACTCACAACTTAGTTGAAGATTGAATCCAGCAATATGACTTATTGTAATTAACCAAATACCAATGATAAAGAAAATCAGAGGCTTAATTCCAAAATTTGGATTGACCACACCAGAAATGTATTTAATTACAACGAAACGACACAGTGCACTCGTTGGAACCTTTTTAAAGACTGACTCATTTTCTTTAAGATATCTTTGATTGAAAACCAAACATCTCTTTCTTTGTCCTGATTATGCGTCGATCATAGACTCATGTGCTGGTACAATCATCATGAAAGTAATAAAAGTATCAACAGATGAATGTAAACCAATACTTAAGTAAACATGAGAGTACTTGAAACAGACTCTTAACGAAAACCTTATACTAAATATATTAGTTAAAAATTTTAGTCTTAGCTTCATCATTTTATTAAAAATAAAAGAATGGTGTTAATGTAACAATGTAACATCATGATTTTAAACATTTCCGCCCGCCTTCGTCGACTTCAGCGACGAACTCTCAGAAATTGAATCAATCACAAGAGGGCAGAGCTTTGTAATTGGTCGAGTCATTGTTGTTGTACTCGTTTCAAGAGTGACAACTCGAACTCGAGATGGAGTAAGCTTGTTCCATTTGTAAATAGCTTGAAATCGTTGAAGATATTCCCGAGACCATTTAGTCCAAAAACTTTGTGTCATCTGGCTGATAAGCTGCCATCGAGAAAGCCTTGATGACTTTATAGTTTCCAAATTTGGTTCTGGAATTATCGTTAGAGAGTGGCCAATTAAAAAATGCCCTGGAGTTAAGACATCAAGATCATCTGGATCATCAGTCAATGGCATTAACGGTCTTGAGTTAAGGATTGCTTCAACTTGGATTAACAAAGTAGTAAATTCTTCATAAGTGAAGTGTATGTCGCCTGCAACACGTCTCAAATGATGTTTCATTGATTTAATAGCTGCTTCCCATTTGCCTCCGAAATGAGGAGTTGCAGGCGGGTTGAAATGCCAAGAAGTACCATCATTAGCAACCAAAGAAGCCATTTCACCAAGTTGTTGACTGTTTTTCGTGAATAAATCCTTTAATTCTTTTTCAGCGCCTTTGAAATTTGTGCCACAATCACTGTATAAATCCGAACAAATACCTCTTCTTGATACGAATCGTTTGTAGGCAGCTATAAATGCTTCTGTTGTGTAATCAGTAACCAATTCTAAGTGTACTGCTGAAGTAGTTAAACAGATGAACAAGGAAACCCAAGCTTTATAAGTCTTAGGATTCCTACCTTTCCAAGTTTTAATCACATAAGGTCCTGCATAATCTAGGCCAGTATGTAAAAAAGCTCTATTTGGATTTACTCTGGAATAAGGTAATTGTCCCATTAATTGACTTGCTTGAAGTCGCCGATACCGAGTGCATCTGACACATTTGAGAATGAACGAACGAATTGGATTTCGTCCACCTAAAATCCAATACTGATTTCTAATATACATAAGAGTATCTTGAGTAGATCCATGAAATACCCGCTTATGAGCTTCGTCGATGATCAAAATTGAAAAGTGCACATCCTTTGGAAGAATATATGGATGTTTGGTATCTGTTGACAATGACGAGTGATTTAATCGACCTCCAACTCGCAACAAGCCTTGACGATCTATGAATGGAGTAAGTTTAAGCAAAGAACTTGAGTTTGGAATCTCTTGTTTCTGTTGTAACCAAGAAATTTCTTTGCTAAAATACTGGTGTTGAATTAACTTAATCCAGAACAGTCGTGCTTCATTGATTTCAGCTGGAGAAAGTGGACAAATTGCGAGAGATTTAGATTGATTTCTAAAACATTTAATTGCTCGGTTGCATGTTGCTGTTACTCTTAAAAGCTTGGTCAAATTTGAAAATCGATTTTGAAGATCCCAGATTTGATTTTTAATACAGAGATGAACAACTTTAGGTAATATTTTACTTCGTTCTTCTAAATCCTTTGTAGACTTATTAGGTAAAGGTAGCGTAGGCCACATTGACGAATCATCAACTAACCAGGAAGGGCCTTTCCACCATAGTACATAATCTTTAAGTTCTTTTGCAGTTAAACCCCTTGATGCACAATCTGCTGGATTCATTGTTCCTGGTACGAATTCCCATTTCGCTTGCGGAATTAAATCTTGAATTAAACATACTCTATTATGAACAAATTCTTTCCATCTAGAAGGATGATTATTGAGCCAAATATGAACAATAGCAGAGTCTGTCCAAAGGTAGCATGGAGCTTGTTTCAGATTTAATACTTGTCGACACTGAGCGACGAGTTTGGTTAATAATACTGCTGCTGATAACTCCAGTCTGGGAATTGTCATTCTTTTGATTGGTGCAACTCTAGTTTTTGAACACAACAGTGTAACTTGGGTTGTATTTAATCCATATGTCTTAATATAAACTACTGCTGCAATTGCCAATTGAGAAGCATCACTGAATCCATGTATTTCAATAGATAAATTCTTCATCATACCAGTCCATCGAGGTATTTCAATGTGATTCAGCTCATCCAATGAATCAATAAAGGTCTTCCAAGATTTTACCTGAGAATCATTGAGAGGATCATCCCAACCAGTTTTGATTACCCATAACTCTTGCATAAAAATTTTAGCTTTAATAAAAATTGGCGACAATAAACCAAGTGGATCAAAAAACTGTGCTATTTTTGATAATACCGAACGTTTGGTGAATTTTGTAACAGATGCATCCAATAGTTTAAACTGAAAAGTATCTAATGCAGGCTTCCAAGACAGGCCAAGAGTGTGAACAACTTGCTCTTTAAGTGGAATGGATTGTGTATTGATTACATAATTAGAGTCGATGAGCTTTAAAACTTCTGGTTCATTACTTATCCATTTTCTTAAAGGAAAACCGCCCGCCATGCAGAGATCATATGTTTGTTTAGCTTTAAGTTGAGCTTCTTCAATTGTATCAGCTCCTCCAAATACATCATCAACGTAACGTCCTTTGAGCAATATTTCAGCCGCTAAAGGAAATTGATGACCCTCATCTTTAATCAATTGAAGTACAGCACGTAAAGCCAAGTAAGGAGCACACACTAATCCGTAAGTAAATGTTGTCAGCTTAAACTTGATAATTTTACCCTCTTCTTTCCAAAGAATTCGTTGAAACGGCCAATCATCTTTATGTACTTGAACTTGGCGGTACATTTTCTCAATGTCAGCAGAAAATAAAAATTTGAATTGCCGTACCCATATTAAAATATCGAAAAGATTGATTTGAAGCTTTGGACCAGCATGTAATGCTTCATTTAGAGGAATTCCATTTGTTACTTGACATGAGCCATTAAAGACTACTCTCAATTTCGTTGTGATACTGGATTCACGGATGACTCCGTGATGAGGTAGATAAAAACTAAACCTTTGGTTCAGGCTCATCGTCAGCTACTTGATTCATATGATGCAACATTTTATATTCTTTAAGAAACGAAGAATAAGCTTGATAAAAATCAGGATTAGAAGAGAATTTTCTCTGTAGATGATTTAACATTCGAATAGCAGATAACTTTGACCCTCCTATTTGGTTTACTGGAGTCCTGAATGGAAGTCTTACTATGTAACGACCAGAGTCATCACGAGAATGAGTAGCAATGAAATGGTTTTCACATTCTTGTTCTTTTGGATCTAAGGTTTTATTCTTAGAACTAATGATTTCCTCTTGATGCCAAAAGTTTTCTAAAAGAGAGTACAACTCTTTATCCAATGAACAATGATTTGAAGTCACCTCTCGTTGATCAGAATTTATGCTTGACGGTCCAGAAATTATCCAACCCAGTTGAGTAAGCTGAGCTGTAGGAGAGTTATCTGGACTTTTACAATTGATCCTTCTAATAGAGATCCATAAATGTCAGAGCCCAATATTAAATCAATTGCTCCTGGTTTGGTATAATGAGGATCTGCTAATAATAAATTCTTCAAATGATCCCATTGAGGTATATGACATGTCTTTGAAGGAATTCTTGAAGTTAATTTAGGTAGGACATAAGCTTGATAAGCTATAATAGTTGCAGATTCATAATGAGGTTTAATTTTCAGGTTCACTAATCCTCTAGTTGAACCAGTTCTTTTAGCTCCAACTCCGATGATAGGAATGGATGCTGATTTTCTCAGAAGCTTTAATTGTTGAACCACATATTCTGATATCAGAGAGATTTCTGAACCTGGATCAATAAGAGCTCGAACTTCTAGAGAAGTTCCATTTTCATGTAGAATTTTGACTTGAGCTGTTGCTAAAAATACAATCGCTTGAACCTGTAATGGCTTATGGAGATGATTGACTTGTTTTGAAGGTTCTTCGGTGTGTGTTGAATTTGACTGATTCACCACTGTTGATGACTGAACCTGTTTGTTTGAAGAATTGAAATCTTGAAATTGATGCAGTGATGTGTGATGTTTACGCCCACATTTTAAACACCGATGCGATGAATTACAGTTTGATCGAAAATGATATTTTAGACAATTATAGCATAGTTTCTTGGATTTGATAAATTCTTGACGCTGTTTAATGGTTTTAGATGCATATTGAGAACACTTGGTTAATGGATGTGGTTTTGAACAACAAGGGCATGTTTGTTGTTTGGATGAGAACGAATTTCCAATACTTTCTTGACTCGTCGAATGATGTGACTTGAAATGATGTTGTCTTGAATTATTAGTTCCTGATAATTTTTTAGGAATCTTTTCAAAGGATTGAAGTGAAACCATTTTAGTTTTTAAGAAGCTCTCAAGTTGATCCCATGTAGGTGGTCTTTTTGAAGCGCCCAAGTAGTTCTCCCAAGATCTCACTAGATTAGCATCTAGCCTATTGACAGTTAAATGTACCAATATGTCATCCCATGAATGAATGGGACGATTCAATGTTTCTAAAGTTCTATATGCTTGTAATGTAGATGAATATAACTGTTCTAACTCAGAAGCTGATTCTTTAGTCATCGCTTTAATTGCGAATAATGATGCAACTGCAGATTGAACTAAGAGTCGATCGTTTTCATAAAATGAAGTAAGAGAATCCCATGCTTTTTGAAAATTTTCTGAAGTCAATGAAATATTCTTAATGAATTGAGCTGCTGGGCCGGTTAAACTTGTTTTGAGGTATTGTAATTTTTCGACCAATGAAATTGATGCATTTGAGATCACAATAGATGTAAATAAATCTCTAAATGGCAACCAATTGTTAAATGTTCCATCATACTTTGGTATATCTATGCGTGGTAATCTTGAATTTATATGAGTGATAACAGAAGTAGGCTGTGAGGCCGATGATGTTGACGCTGTCTCACATGTTGTTTCGAGTAAATTCAACATCCTTTCAACGTTGTCCAAGTACGTCTGGTACGTCTTATTATAAACTTTGTTTATGAAATAAGTATGCTGTTCGAGCACAGTACGCTGAGGAAATTCAACTTTTCTGATACACATAAGTATTGCGTCATTGTTGACGTTGAAATTTCCCCATTCCTCTCTGAGAGCCTGGAGCCTTGACTCGATCCGATGACGAGAGACATCTCCGCGTCCAACACTCATCAACTGCTCGTACGCATTTTCAATGCGTTCTGCGTACGACAATTGTTGATCTAAACGACGCTCGACGTGTTCAGCTCTCATGTTTGAAAGGAATTGTAAACAAACTTTATCACTTAATATTAAAAGAAACAAGACTCTATTGATAAAAAACGAAATGACTGGCCGGACGTATCCGGCTCGAAGGACCAAAAAATGAATAAAAGAGAATTAATATGGTTTAAATTGCTTAATATGTTTGAAAGTTAATTAATCAAATGAAAAAAAAAAGGATAAGAGAAATTTTAATTAAAATTATTTATTAGCAAATGTTGAATTAGGCATTATAACTGGAATTAAAATAGCTGATCTAAAATAACGTAGAATGTAGAGAGCTGGTTACACGTCGAGGTGATCGCAGACCAGTGTTGAACGATAATTAAGAGGTTGAAGCTGTTGAATCCTGAAAGAAAATATGAATTGGTATTTTCTCAGAGAGTGAAACGTATGCCCGTAATTAGACACAACATTGAATCAACATTTTTAATCAAACTTTATTAGAATTGAATCAAGTGGTTCTGTCAGCAGAAGTGTAAAATAAACTTCGTGAAAATTCATGCTGAATCTTCCAATAGACATGTGATCAGAGACTCACTTGATTGCTAATTTGAATTCAATAACAAAACTTGATCTTCTAGAATGTCTCATATCAACCAGTTTAGCCAGCAGATGTTCCTATCTGGAAATCATTGAGATTTGAGAAAATCTCAGCACTTGAGAATGTGGCTGTTTACGTAGTTGATATGTCTCATTTTTAATCAATTGTAGATATAGATCAAGGTATAAGTCAGCAGAAATCGTGTATAATTTCGTGGAAGACCATCTTAACTTCCTCAAGAATGTGACTTATACGCAATTGATCTAGTGACATAAGAAGAATCAAGGCTGGGCTTGATCCAAACAATAATGAACTTGACTCACAACTTAGTTGAAGATTGAATCCAGCAATATGACTTATTGTAATTAACCAAATACCAATGATAAAGAAAATCAGAGGCTTAATTCCAAATTTGGATTGACCACACCAGAAATGTATTTAATTACAACGAAAACGACACAGTGCACTCGTTGGAACCTTTTTAAAGACTGACTCATTTTTCTTTAAGATATCTTTGATTGAAAACCAAACATCTCTTTCTTTGTCCTGATTATGCGTCGATCATAGACTCATGTGCTGGTACAATCATCATGAAAGTAATAAAAGTATCAACAGATGAATGTAAACCAATACTTAAGTAAACATGAGAGTACTTGAAACAGACTCTTAACGAAAACCTTATACTAAATATATTAGTTAAAAATTTTAGTCTTAGCTTCATCATTTTATTAAAAATAAAAGAATGGTGTTAATGTAACAATGTAACATCATGATTTTAAACAGGAACAATCTGTTGTCTTTTCGTCGCTTGTACCGCTTTGCTAATGACTTTTTAACGGCCATTAGCGATCTTTTCTGCCTGTGTACCTCTCCTTTAGGATCAGTAACACGGCCGTATTCAAAGTGTGATGTTTACGTCTGATACTCGCCACGATACGCCGAATCTTTGGCGTATAAGGCCTGTGAGTATTTAAGTGATTCATCACACTTTAAATACGAGATGCACCCTGTCGAGCCTTTTTGATCTTATTTGCAGTATGTTCGATGCGTCTTTTCAGGCTTAACTCGGGATTGACAGGTGTTCGTCTGCCCTGAGTAAACCCTCGAGCCACATCATGGACTGTATTGTTGAGTGCAAAAAGGTCTGCACTATCTGGTACCCGGTGGTCGAGATCTTGGTTAGCGCTAGCTAGGTGTTCTGCAGAGAGCGTAATTTTCCGGAGAAAATTACCCTCTCTGCTGGTGAAGTCCTGCTGATTGGTGCCCTCAGGGGAAGGAGATGGGGGTTCTGCAGTGAGAGAAGGGTGGAACGGGAGTATGCTCCACCTCGGTGCGGCTGTCTCGGGTGTCAGTGAGACTTCGTCCTCAGTCTCTGAAGCGTTTGATATTGAAGAGTCAGAGTCTGACTCCTCTTCTATCCGCCGTCGAGATTGAGTATACCGCACCTGCGATGCGAGCGCCGCCGACGTTAGATGTTGTAACTCTGGGTGCATTTCGCACCACAGAGTATGCAAGCGCCTGGCGTAGCCTAAGGTCTGTGGCTCGCATCTTTCCCAACACTGCATTAAATCCCGTCTCAGCTCCTCTGTCCATCTGAGACGCTGTAGGGGTGCCAAATTATTATTATCATTATTAGTAATAAGATTTCTTATCTCTCTGAATAAATCTTGAGTTTCTCTTCGACCTTCCTCGACATGTTCCTCCAAACGAATTTGATCTCTGTTCAGACTTTCTTCTATCCAATTTAACCTCATCTCTAAAGCTAGAAGTACTCCATTAGTACCCTCTTCAACACAATCGGCATATTGAGTTCTCCTTCTAGCTCGAGTTTACCGACGACTTGGACTCTTCGGCGTGATTTTTTTTTTTAATATTCTCCAAAATTCACTAACACAAACATTCACGGCAAAATCATAATCGACCATTGGACTACGTTTATTGGGATGATCCCGATGAGCTCGTTGATCGATTGCGTTTACTTGTTTCATCACGTGCTGCTGGTAATTCCAGTCATAACAATGCAATAATGTCAATTATTGAAGAACTACGTAAAGCTGGAATCATATATTAATTAGATGTTCAATATAATTATTTATTCTTCTATTGACTCTTGGAAAGAGAGGATGAGTGTAGACATTTTGGAACGTCAGTTCGACGAAGATTTGCAAAAAAGTGCTATCCGTGGTCCACCTGATGATGAATTCAAATTAACAATTGATAAACAATATGATATGGATAATAAAAGATTGTGCAACCTTGCTGATCCAGTAGATCTAAATGATGCTGTGTAATTGAAAGTTGTTAAATCTAAGAAAAAATTCAAAGGAAGACCTGAAGCCCAGTTACTACGAATAAAGAAAAAAGGCAAATTGTTGAAGAACTTCATAGGCCAGTGAAAAAAAATTATCAACGACGACATATGGATGTACGAGGTCTAGATGAGACTCGGCAAGCTGATCTTGTTGATATGTCAGCATATAAATCTTAAAATAAAGGATATGAATATTTATTAACCATTATTGACATTTTCTCTAAATATGCTTGGGCTATACCAACTAAATCTAAGAGTAGTAAAGATGTCACTGCAGCAATGATGGTCATTTTAGATAAAAAAAAGAGTTCCTAAACGTTTACATGTTGATAGAGGAAAAGAGAGAAAGAAAAAATGTGGAAGAAAATTACTTTACATGGAAATTATAAATGGATTAATTTTTCACTTGAATTATTAACATCACATAATAATAGTGAACATTGTACCATTAAAATGAAGCCTGTCGATGTGTCTTCCGCTAATGAAAATAATTGTTCGATGATATTTATAGATACTTAAAAGTTTGTAAAGATGAAGAAGAAAAATAAGTTCAAAGTTGGTGATAAAGTTCGCATTAGCAAATATAAACATATATTCGACAAGGGGTACACTCCTAACTGGATCACTGGAATCTTTACTGTCAGTGAAGTGAAAAATACACACCCAGTAACTTATAAATTAACAGATTATCAAAATCAATCGATAGAAGGAAGTTTTAATGAAGAAGAATTAACTAAAGTGTTATATCCTGATGTATATTTAGTTGAAAAAGTACTAAAAAAACGTGGGAATCGAGCATATGTTAAGTGGCTAAGATTTAGTAATGAACATAATAGTTGGATAAATATAGATGATTTATAATATTGTTTATTAATGTCAGAATAAAAACAGAAGAAATTATTTGATTGATGTTTTGTTTATATTCGACACTATTTATGAGAATATGTTCACATTATTTATTTTGCGAAAACTTATGACGTAATGTTGTTTTATTTAGATAAGACTCATAAAATCAGCAGGAGAGAGATTAACTTGGATTCCTCTACCAAAGTTCATAAAAGATAAACGTGCATTGCTAAACATCAAGAACGACAACCAGTGCTACGTTCTTCGGGCAGTTACAGCAGCTTTGTATCCAGCCAAGATTAATCCTTAATGGAATGCATTATATCCAGATTATCGAACTGTTCTCCAGTGTGAAGGTATCAATTGTTCAACAACTTTTCATGATATCTCAAAATTTGAATTATATAATAATGTGTCAATCAATGTTTATGGATTTAATAATAATAATAAAAAAGCTCCTTTATATCTAGTAAATATCGTCATGAAAAATATATACATTTGTTGATATTAGAGAGCAATGTTCAAATCAATAATGACAATAATTTAACACCTACTTATCATTTTTGTTTGATCAACGACCTTACTAGATAAGTTAGTTCTTAATTTCGAATTCTTAAATTAAGAAAAAAATTCTTAAAAAAAGAATATTTATGTGATCGATGTTTGTGTAATTTTAAATTTGAAAAATTATTCAATAATTATCGTAATGATTGTATTAAAATGAATAAAACAGCAATTACTTTTCCTCCAAGTAATGAAAAAATAAATTTAAAAATTATCAAAATAAGGAACAAGTTCCATTCGTTGTATATGCTGATCTGGAATGTATACTTGAACCAAATAATACCAAGCAGAAGCATATTCCATATAGCCTTGCTTTCTATTCTTAATGCACTTGTGATGAATCAAAATCTTATTTTTCTTTGAAACGTCGAATTGATTGCATTGATTGGTTCATTAGAGAATTAAAAAAATTATCAGAACATGTAAAAGACACTATCAAACATGTTGTGCCAATGAAACCATTAACTTCACAGCAGCAGAAAGCTTATCAACAAGCTAGAAAATGTCATATTTGTAATAGAATTTTTTACATGGTGAATCTAAAATTCGTGATCATTGTCACTTTACCGAAAATTATCGCGGTCCAGCTCACAACGGATGTAATTTGAAATATCAGTCTTCCCATATCATTCCGATAGTTTTTCAGAATCTTTCGGGGTATGATTCTCATTTTTTAATTAAAGGATTAGCAGCAACATCATTCGAGGGGAAAATAGATTATTGCCAGTTATGAAGAAAAATACATAGCTTTCACAAAAACTGTTGGTAGAGTGGAATACAATATTAATAGAAAAAGAACTTGTGAAGTACCAATTAAATTACAATTCATAGATTCTACCAGATTTATAACTAGCAGTATTGATGAATTAGCATCACTTTAGATGATAAAAAAAATATTACCAAAAATGTTTCGTTTTTAAGTTCAAAATGAAAAGGATCAAAAGAAAGACAAAGGTGTGGAAAAAACAAGCTAAAGTCGTGAAAAAGGCGACGATTGACCCTATCACGTTTGATCATTATAAAGAATGTTTATTGAATCATAAAATCTTTAAAAAAAATAAACATCATGTAGTTACTAAGAAAAATGAAGTTTATACTATTTAAGAACAAAAAAAGCATTGAGTTGGCAAGATAACAAAAGACAGTTATCAGAAGAAACAACTGATACTCTGTCGTGGGGCTGTATTTAAATATCACACAAATTTATATTTAATGTTTTCATTATTGTATTAATGATAAGTTTAAGCGAGTAATACATAATAATAACTACATTATCAATTACAAAATTTTTCTGAACTTTTATCACTATTGTCACAATTGTAAGTTACAATTTTTCTTATTCTTTCAACATCCGCTCATTAATCATATCAAGATGTTAAATTGATTTCTTCTTTTCATTAATTTTCTGTTGTTCATCCTTAGTAAATGGTATCCACTTGATATTAGCTGCTTGAGTTTCCGTATAACATGACAATTTTTGAAATCAGACATTTTATCAGCCATTTTTTCCGCACATTTTAACTGTTTATCAATTTTTCCTGACTAATTTAATTGTAATTTCAACATAAAAAATAATGAAAAAAAAAGATTTAAAACACAATTCAAATGTATGTATCAAGAGTAATTTCACTTGTATCTTTGTGGCACAAAATCTCAAATGCAATTGAACCTAATTTGAAGATCCTAAAACCAATGAAGAATTATACTGCGTCATTTTATGAGTCTTATCTAAATAAAACAACATTACGTCATAAGTTTTCGCAAAATAAATAATGTGAACATATTCTCATAAATAGTGTCGAATATAAACAAAACATCAATCAAATAATTTCTTCTGTTTTTATTCTGACATTAATAAACAATATTATAAATCATCTATATTTATCCAACTATTATGTTCATTACTAAATCTTAGCCACTTAACATATGCTCGATTCCCACGTTTTTTTAGTACTTTTTCAACTAAATATACATCAGGATATAACACTTTAGTTAATTCTTCTTCATTAAAACTTCCTTCTATCGATTGATTTTGATAATCTGTTAATTTATAAGTTACTGGGTGTGTATTTTTCACTTCACTGACAGTAAAGATTCCAGTGATCCAGTTAGGAGTGTACCCCTTGTCGAATATATGTTTATATTTGCTAATGCGAACTTTATCACCAACTTTGAACTTATTTTTCTTCTTCATCTTTACAACTTTTAAGTATCTATAAATATCATCGAACAATTATTTTTCATTAGCGGAAGACACATCGACAGGCTTCATTTTAATGGTACAATGTTCACTATTATTATGTGATGTTAATAATTCAAGTGAAAAATTAATCCATTTATAATTTCCATGTAAAGTAATTTTCTTCCACATTTTTTCTTTCTCTCTTTTCCTCTATCAACATGTAAACGTTTAGGAACTCTTTTTTTTATCTAAAATGACCATCATTGCTGCAGTGACATCTTTACTACTCTTAGATTTAGTTGGTATAGCCCAAGCATATTTAGAGAAAATGTCAATAATGGTTAATAAATATTCATATCCTTTATTTTAAGATTTATATGCTGACATATCAACAAGATCAGCTTGCCGAGTCTCATCTAGACCTCGTACATCCATATGTCGTCGTTGATAATTTTTTTTCACTGGCCTATGAAGTTCTTCAACAATTTGCCTTTTTTCTTTATTCGTAGTAACTGGGCTTCAGGTCTTCCTTTGAATTTTTTCTTAGATTTAACAACTTTCAATTACACAGCATCATTTAGATCTACTGGGATCAGCAAGGTTGCACAATCTTTTATTATCCATATCATATTGTTTATCAATTGTTAATTTGAATTCATCATCAGGTGGACCACGGATAGCACTTTTTTGCAAATCTTCGTCGAACTGACGTTCCAAAATGTCTACACTCATCTTCTCTTTCCAAGAGTCAATAGAAGAATAAATAATTATATTGAACATCTAATTAATATATGATTCCAGCTTTACGTAGTTCTTCAATAATTGACATTATTGCATTGTTATGACTGGAATTACCAGCAGCACGTGATGAAACAAGTAAACGCAATCGATCAACGAGCTCATCGGGATCATCCCAATAAACGTAGTCAGTAGATAAGCAGGGCCGGTTCTGGATCACTCTGCAATACCGGCCAAGTCAAAAAAGTGGGTTCTGATCCGCACTAATTACCGACCGCGATAACTTTGACGATAAGTTACTGACCGCGATAAGTTATCGACACTGATAAATTATCGGCAGCGATTTTTTTACCGATCCTGATTGGTGATAAATTATCTTCAGCGATAATATTATAATTATCAGCAAAATAACCGTAGAAAAAAATGGCGGTGATGTGTCTCAAGGATGTTAGATGATTGGGAAAAGGTTTTAGAGTGAAATCAATGTCTCTTTCAAGTCAATTTTTTTTTATTAAAAAAAAATTATAATATATTTTTTCTTTTTTATAAAAAAATAATGATCCTTTGAATGATGGTTCCCAAGTAGCATTAATCTACCTGTAAGAATCAAAATTATTTGCTTCAATAACTTTTTTCATATAAGTAAAACTAGAAAAACTAATCATAAAACAAGACTTACAGTATCATAACCATCATCATAGTCAGTGGAATCATCATCATAATTATCATCGTCATCAGATGTTGGAGGTGAAGGAGGTAGAACTTCTACCTCACTATCACTGTCTTCGACAGTGATAATTTCTTGGCTTAGAGGTGGTGGTACGACGGAGATGTCTCCTTCTATCCGGAACCATATGACGTTACCGGGGAACGTTAGGCAGGTAGCCGTTACGCCACGAAGTGTAAGGGTAGCGCCTTCTATCCCTCCCGTCTCTTCCCAATGATCTTCAAGTGTCATTAGAATAATAATTTCTAGGAGGGTGATCGGTAGATCGAACCAGGCCTCCGGAAAAATAAAAGTGCACATCTTTTTTTAAAAAGTAATAACGATTATGATAGATTGTTTTCAAACTTAAAAAAAGAAAAATTCTCCCACTTGATAAATTATCATTTAACAATTCATAAAATTCACAATTACACTCAATAAATAATTATATTAATGCATAAAAATTAAAAAAAAAACACACTTTTTATACTTGAATGAAGCAAAAGTCACTACTTACTTGGTATGGTTTGATCAGTTTGACTGTCGAAAATGAACTAAATATTTTGTCCTATGCATCATACACCATGGCTAAATGTTTATATTTTTCAAAGAGGCCAATGGTGAAAAAATCATTGAACGATATTGATTCAAATATATAGAGAGGCCTTGATCACATCACTCAGCATTAAATTACAGATAAAGAAAAGAATTTGACAACAAGAAAAAATTTTCACTAAAAAAAATTTATAAATGACATTTTTTTTCTTTTTAATTATTAAAATAGTTTGTAAACGATCTCTACTATGGATAAATAATTTTAGACACATATTTTTTCGATTGGATTTTTAATTAAACGTGTTTTCTTTGTCGCTCATGCCTCTGCTATCTTCTTTTCCTCGCTCCGCCACCGCTTCCTCACTTTGTCTATACTTTTATTCTCCGCTAAGAAGCTGTGATTCATGCAAGAGTTGAAAGGGCCATGTGTCGAAAAATAATCGACTTATTTTATTTCATTTAGAAACGTTAACGTTTGACTTAGTCGGTCGACTGCATCATATTTTCCTCACCCTTATTTCTTTTTCTCTTTATTTATTCTCTCATTCTCTGTTACTTATTGAAGTAAGACAGAATACATATTATGAATAATCAATTGAAATATTTTATTTACTGTATGAGTAATCATAACTAAACGTATTTTAAATGTAAAAAAATGATTGAAACGAAAAATTATTATCTTTTTTCATTTTATATTTTCTGAACTATGATTTATAATTATTTACGTTAAATGACTTCTTTAACAATAATAATAAGATTTTTATCTTGAGAAAGAATTTTATTTAAGAAATAAAAATTATACATTTTCATTTTATGTATTTGAATGAATGAATTCTTCTTTTTTACAATCAATACAATTAATTCTCAATGTTCTTGTATGATCTAATGACATGTAATGTTTGTAACATTTACGATGCAATCAGATATCTCTATCGAGTTGTAAATGTTCCGGTAATTTATCCCAAATATCGTCGATGTATTCTGGAACAATCTTCAAGAAATACTTTGGAAGACAAGCAAAATCTTCACTTGACATTTTTGTTATATTTTTTAATAAACAATACAATTTGAATGACTTCTCAAATGGGGTTTTTTCATGAAAATTCACCATATACCATGCTTTTAGAATTTTTACATTCTTTTCTGCACATTTTTTATTTTCTCCATTATGCACCCCACAATCTCTTAGATGATTGATATCCAGAACATGTAGCGAAGGACATCCAAGCTCATCCAAATTAATTACAACTTTTGAGTTGTCAATTAAACTTTCTAACCATTTTTTCTTTTCATCTCCTTTCACGTAAATACAGTCTCGATCTTTAACAAGTACACGAAGAATGTATGGAAGTTTATCATATGGTATTGTTCCAGATTTCCATGGAATGCCATGATAATTACGTATCAACCACGAATTTATGCATTCATATTTGTCAGGTGAATATTCCCACTGATATAGCGGTTTAAAAATTATCACTGAAATGTCTTCCATACCATCACTATTATCTTGGATTGTAATAGTCGCCAATTCTTTCACTAAAAACTGATTATTTGGCTGCTTGAAACCTTGAATATCCAATATCATTTCCATTATGCGCTCAAAAATTTGTATACATGCCAAAATGTAAAACCCAACTGAAAAGTTTTTTGGTAAATCATCTATTTATATGTTTATCCCCACTTTAAAATTATAACATCTAATTTTATTGTTTGATCACTACAACGATTGTCTATAAAATTATATTTTTTTTCATTACATGTAATTTTCGATAGTCTGAATTTTCAGCAAGAACGATGATGAAACATCACGCCAACCCCTCAAGATTTTTTCTTGAAAAATTAAGCAAAAATTTAAATGATCTCAGGGATGATTCACAGCCTTGACATATTCTGGAAGTTTTCAGCGGGGGATGATGATGAAACATTATGCAAACGTTTTTTTATGCATGTTTTAATTTATGATTGCATCAAAAATTGAAACATTCTGAAATCTTTGTTTTGGAGGGGATGAATTGTATTTATACCCATGCAACTCATGTTTAAAATCACTGATCAATTAAAACTGTGAGAAATACATTGTTTATACATAATTCAAAACAGTAAAAATGGATCTATCAAGAGTAAATAAAATTGCCGAGTGTGAGACGTACTTACCAACCAAAAAGATGGATACATTAAAACCGTCTAAAACGTATAAAATTACTGGTTTGAAAGAACTTGAAACTGTGTATGGTACAAAAGTTGTGGCAACAGTTAAAAATAGCTACATGATATTTTTACCTCCAAGAACGGTGAAAATTTTGGAAAATCATAAAGAATTTGAAAAATTGGTTGAGTTGGCCGTTGACAACAGATTATCATTGTTGTACCATGGTGGAGCTAACAATTCTTTTGAATTCATAGTTGATGATGAAATGTAATCTAAAATTTTACATGTCAAACAAAAAATATCAGTGCTCTGCAGTGGTCTGGGTGCGACCCGAAAGGTCCACACGACCAACTTCCCAGTGGACAATTTGAATAGAACCCGTTTCCATTTTTTATAACAAATGGAATTGTTATAAACGAAATGAGTCTGTTTTTATTCATTTGATATGGTTAGTTACTTTATTTCAGTAAAAGAAAAAATTGTGCGTTAGAAGAATTCGAATGTACCTCATAGATCCTTTTTTTCATTATTTACAACGAATTTCATTGTTATACACGTGTTCTGACTTGAAGGGGCCCAAGTCAGTTAGTCAGAAATATTCAAAAATTGTTAATGCCGGACTTGTCCACCGGCGCGTCAGTCAACTCACTGGACCAATCATCGGGAAGTATTTCCCTCATGGCCCAGAAGGCAACTCTACGGCCCTAGTGACGCCAACAAGCACGCGGTCGAGCACTTGTGGCGTCAGTTAGCTCCAGGCAAATCACGCGGTCATCTCTGTATAAGTTTTCGCAGTCAAATCGTAGTTTTTTGCAGTCAGCTCACTCGTTGTACAATAAAGTACGGTCAAATAGACTCAGACAG